GCCGAGCCCCGCGCCGGGGGTGAGCAGCCTCTGCCCTTTTTTGGCGTTAAACTTCCAGTCCCGGGTTTCCTCACCGTAAAACACAGATGTTTAATTTTAGGCTGGCAGATGTTTCACTCCTGGCTGAGATCTGAAGCGAAGGCGACGTAGGGGTATTTATAAACCAGGAATAATTTTCCTATACTAATTCCAGATTACCTCCCTGTATAAATAGGTCACAAATCAAATCTCTGCATTCCGGTGCGTTGTTATAAATGTACTATTTGGAAAACGTAAACGATTCTACATCTCCGTCCCGCGGTGCGTGCGTGTCCTCTGAGGTACGGCTTTACGCAGGCAGGCAGGCGCTGGCGATGCCGGGCCTGCGGCAGGGATGCTATTTTTGGGGTAGTCCCACGGCCAGTAGAAAATAGGCTAATGGGATAAAAATGTTTGTAAAATACAGCTGTTTGAGAAGAAACTTCTCGCCCTGTGGAGAAGGGGGAAGAGTTATCTACAACTGGTGGCGGAGACGGTTTTGTAACCCTTGCGGTGGGCCGGGGCTTGTAGCTTCTAGGTTCGTGTTGAAGCTTTGTAAATGTTAATTTTTGGGTGAGGGACCATCACTTGCATCTTTCTGAATCTCAAAATCCCCATTCCTAAAGCAGAATGGGGAGACAGCTGTTTCTTACCCGTGGGAGAATGTTGAAGTTTCTATGCAATAAATGAAGTTTATACGAATTAAATGGTCAAGAGGAGAAGCCAGGCTGGTGGGAATTGGGGGTTCCTGAACAATTTGGAAGCCTTGGTGTTCAGGCTGTCAGGAACTAGGGAAATAGGTGAATACTGGTGCCAGGTGTGCAGCCAGCAATTCCCAGCACTGCCAGACCCCGAGCAGCTTGTTGCCCCTCTCCGACAAGGGTCAACAGGAGCTGCGTGGCCTCAGCATCTGGTGCCAGGCACCTCGAGTGGGATGTGCAACCATCCCACTGTCACCGAATCCGCCGTGGCCTCAGCAAGAGGGTGGTGTGACGGAGCTCTGAGCCGGACGATGCGTTTTAGGGACAAGGAAGACACCTGCTCCAGCATCGTACCACGTCTGGAGCTGCGGAGCACTGGTTATTCCCTCCTTCCTTGGATGATTGACTGGTGAGTTGGGTCGAGGCTGTTTCTTCAGCCAGAAACCCCAGGATCTCTCTCATTCTGGACCACTTGTTGCCGGCTGCAGCATCCGTATAAGCTTGAGATGAAAGCATATACGCAAATACGTAAAATTTACTAGTATTGGGCTGGCAGCTCTCCTTGCTTCCTCCGTAATGATTTCCTGCCCCTCTCCGCTAGCTGGTAGGCTCCTTTCTTGGTCGAGAACAAAACTGTATGAAACAATACTTCACATTGTTTGCCCTTTCATTCAAAGGGAAGGAGCTGCTGCCCTCCGAAGATACAAATTAATTAGAAGCGAATACTCTCCTGTTCTTCAGAGCATAAAGGCCAAACAGACTGGCTTTCTTTGAAAACGCGGGACCAAAGTGTCTCTTGTATCCTGCTTCTTTACATAACCGATCGCTATCTGCTGAACTGAGGTGGAGCTGAAAGGCCCAAATCTTCGGTCGTTTTTGTTTAATATTGTTGAATTTGTGCTTAATACTTTAATGGAAACAAAGTCCAAAAAATGATTCATGCCCGTGTTTAATAAGAGATTTATAGACAGTGGGCCAGCAGGACAGATGTAACCAAAACAGAAGAGGGGATTGAGTTGAGTTACTTTTTAGCCCGAATTTTAGTTTGTTTTACGAAGTATTGATTTCACAGGAAGAAATGTAAACTTCTTGATGGCTGCAGGTGTCGGAAGTGAAATATCTTCAAAAGCAAAGAATTTCTTCAAGGCAGGATTGTCACCAACCAGCCCCGGCTTCCTGAAAAGCTGCTTTTCTTTCAGGAAACGGGTCTGACACCAAATCCTTCAAAACTTTTCCAGGAAGGCAACGTGAACGCGGCGCTTGTGCTGATCTCTCTCTCTCTTTGCCTGCCTCGTTATTGCTAACAAAACCCTGGGGTTCATTGAACGTTGGCCTATGGAGAGTGCTAGAGCAGGGAGGTTTGTCCTTGTCCGCTGGAGCTGTTTGCCACTTGGGTGTTGTAGGGCTTTGGTTTTTTCAGTGAGAGCCGTCCTGGTGACGAAGGGGCAGGAGGTGGCTGTGCCTGATGGCCAGTCTGGGCGGCTTTCTCCTCTGGTCTCATCACAGCAATATTGGGTCACAAGCTGCAAGGACCTTCTCCTGCTCTGAACTCACCTGTCTCGTCGCCTCGTGGCTCAGGGATGTGCATTTAGCACAAAAAAGCTGTTGCCAAATTCAGTTTTACCCCTAATGGCATCATTCACCTCTTGCGCGTTGCTGCTGTTGACTTTGGATGTCCCACTCTGGTTTCTGGAACTTATCCTTAGAACATATTGCTCAGGTGTGGTGTGTATATCTAGTTTTACCTTTTAGTTCAGCCTGTGTGCAACCAGCAGAGGGTGGGAGCTGACAATGGGATCCTTTTTTTTTTGCTTCCTCTCCCCTCGAGGTTTGCTTTTATTTTGCCTGCCTTGGTGAGCACGCCTCCCAGAAAGCACGGGAAGGACAGCAGAGCAGATGTTGGTTCCCCAATACCCTGTGTCCCTCTGCTTTTGATTTGTTTAAGCTGGAAAATGCTAGTGTTTCCTTAGGTATATTCTGCCGATCATGCTTTGAAAGCATCAGAAAACTGCACGTCTTGGGGATGCTTCCTCTGCATGAGCAGCAGATGATGAGAGGATGCTCAGGAGCACTTACAGAACGGGCAAATGTTGCAATTGGTGAAAATGCTGTGTGTGCACGGGACCTCATGTCGGCTCAGCAAAGCCCCGCTTCGGTCATCGGGCAAGACAAGTTCGTTTAAAATCCTCCCACGAACCATTGTGCCGCCCTGTTGGTCCTTGACGGCTGAAGGGAACGTGGCTCCGTGGGCGAGGAGCATCCTCCCAGGGCTCCCACTCGGCAAGGAGGGAGCGAGGAGGGTGGGGAAGAAGCTGCCGGCCCCGTGCCGGCGATAGGAGCCGCGGCGCAGCACGGGGCATGTCCTAGTTAGAACACTGCGCCCATTGTGCCGGAGCCATCACCCCGCGGTTACTGCAGCAACAAGTCTGCGAAACTTGTTATTTTATCTGGAGAGAGGAAAAGTGGCCCCAGAACACCAAAAAGGCACCTCTCGAGTAGGAGACATTTTGAGTTCAGAAATGCTGGTTGCTGGGTCGAGGGTTTTTTGTGCGTTGAAGCACAGAGCCGGGTTTGATTTTACGCGTGGTGCTTGCCACGTTATCAAACAGTTTTGGAGAAAAGTCAGGTCGTTGTAGAGCTGGGCTGCAACTCGGCGCTCCAACTGCTCCTGCCACGTCCCGGTGCAGCTGGAGCTGACGTACACCTGTGTCTGCCACCTTTTGTGTCAAAAATTGTAATTTTAGGCAAGTCTGTGGACTCACACTATGAATCTGATTTCAAAAGCGAATCCCCTGTCTGCCCGCAAGACCCAGAGCTGAGGTGCTGGTGGGACAACTCGGTGCTTCCAGCTTTTCACTGTTACTGGAGTGGGCTCCAGGGATGGTGCTTTGGGGCTGTGTCCTGGCACAACCCAGCGGTTTGGCTTTGAAGCCAAGGCTTAATTACATTTTTTGCCTTGTTGGTTGGGGTCTCTTGTTGTTGAGATGAAACCTTAGCCTGCAGAGTAAGAGAAAGTGTTTCAGAGGGTGGGTTGGGTCTTGCAGGAGGTGGCCGGTGGGTGCTGTCCTCGGGGGAGCTATGGTGACCTTTCTCGGTGCGGTGGGTCTCTGCAGAGTCTGGATTTTCAGTTCAGCGGGAAAAGAAACGTCAAGAGGCATAGTTACGGTACCAATGCAGGTCTTTGTGAAACTCGGCTGATTTATCGCCTGTTTTAGAAAGCCCTGGTGAAGCGCCGTGCCGTTCTTCTGGGAGCGTTTGGGGAAGCCAGCGCTGTCTGCTGCGCTTGCCAAGCGGTGCCAGCTGTGCAAAGTTGCCCGTTTTCCTTAACGATTAACTTAGGAAAAGTTAAAGCATAATTAGCTTCTAAGAGTCCCTCTTGCAGAAACCGAACGTGCGTACGAGACCGCGCTGGTAGATGATGGAGGGAATCTTTCCCTGCTTTCGGGTGGCACCTGCCTTGCGGCCGATAGCCCTGCTGAATGGTTGTGCTTCTGGAGGGAGGGATATTTCCAAGAGCTACGTGAAAAAGTCACAGTGTGACCTTCTGTCGCTGTTGTGCCTGCATGATAAACTGTTCTAATGGTTTTCCCTTTCAATTTTGAAGTTGCTCAAGAGAAGCCAGAACAGATCCCGCTGGAGAACCGCTCCTGTGTCCTCATACGTCGGGATCTAGTTGCTCTCCCAGCCAGTCTTATCAGTCAAATCGGATACCGCTGCCACCCAAAACTCTACTCGGAAGGAGATCCTGGAGAAAAACTTGAGCTGGTTGCAGGTAATGAGGGGGTAACTTTTCTTTGCTGGTATTTTCCTTCTTGAAATGTGTTTTTCATCTTGCCTGCACTGTTGCTGGACTCATGCACCTCGTGTGCCCTTGCCGTGTCTTTCTGGATTGTTCATCACCAATCATCTTTTAAAAAGTTCCAAGTTTCCTTTAATTTACTGATAGAAAAATGTGTCATTAACGGGATTTATTCAATTGAATTAATTTAGCATTTTAATTGAATTCTCCAGCTTGTGTTCTTCCCGATTGGTGTGGGCTGCGACGCAATTGTGTGTTGATTTAGAGGCACCGATCTAAAAAAACCCGAACAAAAAACAACCAAAACCAAAACAAAAAAAACCCCATCACATTCTAAGATTTACAAAGCAACGGAGATAAAATTTGCGTCAGTGAACAAGCTCTGAAAGCCCTGTAAAGGTTTTTGAAAAAAACTGGGGGTGTCAAACGCTGCAGTAGGAAGAGAAGGAATTGGTTTTGGTCCTTTCTTTGATCTTTATTTGCATTTTGGGAGGAATTTACTACGTTGGGAGAATTCACTGCTTCTCTATAAAGGATTTATAGCCAGATTGAGGTGGAGGATGGTGCTGTTCAGCTTTTAATGGTGCTGGTGTGGTAGAGCTGGATAACGAGTGCGATCCGGTGGCTCTGCCAGCCTGCAGCCCAGGGACCCCGAACACGGCACGAAGAGACGTCTTTGACTGGGTTGTCCAGGCCAAATTCCGGTTTAAATAGCTATATTCTGCTTTTCTAAGTTCCCCCGCCAGCCTGCAGCCCAGGGACCCCGAACACGGTACGAAGAGACGTTTTTGACTGGGTTGTCCAGGCCAAATTCCAGTTTAAATAGTTATATTCTGCTTTTCTAAGTTCCCCGCAGCTCCACTTTGCTGCAGTGTCCTCTGTGAAGTTGTTTTTTCCCTGGGATGTAGGTAGGTTTAGCTGAAGTGATCTTTGCCCGTAGCCGCCGCCCGGGCAGGAGCTTTAATTAATACCTGTAAAGCCCTTGGTACAAAAAGGACGTGCGGCAGCGCAATCCATCCAAATCAGTTGTGCTTTCTTTCTGGTCATTTATCTCTTGGTGAGTAGCGTGATTTTTATTTCCAGTCTGTAGAAGGAGCCTGAAGGCAAGGGTTCCGTCTGACGGAGGGTGGGTCTTTGCTGGCAAAGCGCGCCTGCTGCAGCACGGCGTGCAACCACAACTATTTATTTTGTATCTGGAATATTCATTTTGTACCCATTTACATTTTATGTGAGACTTCTTAAAACCATCAAGTGGCGCGGGTTATTTTCACAGTGAGAGCTGCAAATTGGCTTGAGGCAACTCTGCTTGATTTACATTTTTCAATCTGGGGAAAAAAAAAAAGTAGATTAATATCACTAACTGATAGTGGCTGCCTGGGTTATTTTTGGTTTATTAAAGTGAAGTTACCCTTGGTAGTGTCTGGCGTTCCCTCTGAGGGCTTATCTCTTAAAATACGGCTGAAGAAAGCTAATTCCTGTCTCAAACCTGGTGAGACCCAGCACGGGGGGCTTGACCCCAGAGCGCACAGGAGAATCCTGCAGCCCAAGTTTTCCTCAACGTTCCGTTCGGAACGTTTTTCTTTTATTTCTGGTATTTTTTGTGATGGATTCTGCAAACTTCTGCAGCCCCGTCTTCGTTCGGACGAGCATCTGTAGCCTTTCCTGGAATTCCAGGAGGTAATTTTATTTCTCTGGTAGATGGTTTTTGTTCTGTCTCGAGAACAGAGTGTGTATCTGGATCCAGATACAACCTATTATTTAATGTTAATTAAAAGCAAATACCGAAAGCCTCTCGTATAACCTGAAAAAATAGGATAACCTTGCCCCGCCAGCGGGTGCTGAGGCAGGAGCGGTTTGGTCTGTGTGAGCTGCGTGCGAGGGAAAGGGGTTTGATAAAAAAACCTGCTGTAAAGCACTGCCAAAGCCCTGGACGAGTAAAGCAGCTTTGGCAGGGGCTCCTTTTTCTCCTGCAGAACATCCTTAAAGGCAGGGTATTTCAAAGTCAGCAGTTCCTGTGCGCTAGAAGGAAAATTCCCTGCTCACCAGAAATCTCAAGAGGTGATGGGCTGGGGTTTTCGAAAGCAATTTGATCTGTAGAGTAACTGAGCGCCTTTTCTGTGCTACGTGGGGTTGTTTTGGGGTTTTTTTCCCTTTCTTTCTAGTTCTGTGATCCTTCACTTGAGAAAAGAAAAGGCTAAATGGATTGGGGTGTTCTTCCTTCAGAAAGAATAAATAATCCCAGTGTGAAGCCTTGCGCTGTGTGTGTATTTGCAAGAGAAAGAAGTCCTGTCGTTTGATTTCCATAGGCTTCCTTTCCGTACGGATAAAATCACGAATTATTATTACCTGGGACTTGCCGCGGCCCCAAGGGACTGTAATGACCATCCCTTCCAGGCTTTTCCAAAAAATCCTGCCACCCTTGCTGGGTTTTTGTGGCAGCAGGTGAAGAGCGGGCTCCCTCCCCCGTCCCA